GGAAGGAAGGAAGGAAGGAAGGAAGGAAGGAAGGAGTGGAGAAGCAAGGAAGGAAGGAGTGGATGTATGAAGGAAGGAAGGAAGGAAGGAAGGAAGGAAGGAAGGAAGGAAGGAAGGGGAGGAAGGAGAGGATGATCAGCTGTTCCAACAATCAGCTTTGCCGGGATCCCTCGTTGTCTTACTGTTTCGCCCAGGAGGAAGGAAAGAAGGAAGGAGAGGAGGAGGAGGAAGGAGGGAGAGGAGGGAGGAAGGGAAAAGGAAGGAAGGAGAGGAAGAGGAAGGAAGGAGGGAGAGGCGGAAGGAGAGGATGATCAGCTGTTCCAACAATCAGCTTTGCCGGGATCCCTTCCTCTCTTACTGTTTCGCCCAGGAGGAAGGAAAGAAGGAAGGAAGGAAGGAAGGAAAGAGAGGAGGAAGGAAGGAAGGAGAGGAGGAGGAAGGAAGGAGAGGAAAAGGAAGGAGAGGAAGAGGAAGGAAGGAGAGGATGATCAGCTGTTCCAACAATCAGCTGTGCCAGGATCCCTCGCTCTCTTACTGCTTCGCCCAGGAGGCGTCCCTGAAGCCCAGAAGGCCCCAAAAACATGGGGGGGTGCTGCAAAAAAGCCACACCCACCAGTCACATGGCCACGCCCACCTAGCCACGCCCACAGTGTGGTGGTCTGGCACTTGAAATGAGACGCAGGGAACCGTCTGAGCAAATGCCAGCCCTGAGAGAACCCAGGTACCAGCTTTTATTGAAAGAAAATGCAAGTACAAAATCAAAACAATGACCTCAACATTACCTCAGCAGGGTGATAATATACTGTGGAAAGTCCCATGAGAATATCTAAGCACGAAAGGTCCCATGGGAATGGCTCGGCTGTGTACTATGACCTTTCACCAATATACCTGGTCCATCTAAGCTTTGCAGATCAAAACAGGACGAAACACCCATTACAAAGGCAAATACTGCCCCCATGAGGAGTGTTTGTAGATCCCCAGATCTATGCATTAGCTGTACGAAGGACTTACAGAAAATGATGAATAAGATATATTACCACACACAGAACCAGTTGTTACCAAATTTGATTGCCACCCCAGTCGGGCTCCGGGCAAGGCGCTCTGCCATTGGATTGGGGATCGGGGCTTAAGTGCTCCGAGGGGCTCTGGGCTGCTCGCGGGAAGCCAGCGCTCGGAGAGGCATTGGGCGCTCCAGCGCTCCGGGATCTGGCCCTCCGTCTCGGGATCGGGCGGTCTCTGGTGCAGGAGGCGGCTTGGCAGGGTGGTTGTGTCCGGGGATGATCTGTCGATGGGGGATTTTCGATCGATTATCCCCTTCCGTCAGGTCGGGGAGAC